GAAAAGCTCAGGGGCTATTTAGTAGTAAGTCTGTAACACCATCTTCATTCCAGAGAAGATGTAACAGTGTTAATAAGATGACAGCATGCTGTTGTCACTCCCATGAAAAAAGTGATCTTGTCACAGGTGCATATCGAATTCTAACACAGAAGAAATCTCCAACTGCCTTTTTTTTGAGTATGCAAACAACCTCAACAAAAATACTTGCTATGGTTTTCATAGGCTTATTTTCTACATACACCTGCTAGCTGTATTAATCTAGTTTATAAATAATCCCTTGAAAAAAACCCCAACTTTTCATCAAGTTGTCACTTGAGTTATACTGTAAGGTACACAGCTTTGCAAATTAAAATTAAAATTCCAGTGAAGTATTGAGTATATATAAAAACTTCTTGGAGAATATAAACCAGCTCCAAGAATTGACAAACTTTCCAAATATACTGCATAAATGGAGTACTTCCCAAAAATGCAGTGGCATTCTTATAGCTACCAAAAAAAAGCAACTCTTAAGAGATCATTTTAAGTTTCTTATTTTTTAGTTAAGTTTTTTAAAAGGTTGTATTTCTACTCATTAAGAGACAGAACAGACTTGATCCAAACAGCATTAGCTATTGTTTTCCTGAAAAGTCACTTTATTTGAAACAGTATAATATTGTAACAGTGAACACCTACAGTATTTCCCAACAATGAACACCTACAATGTTTCCCTCATACATTACTGCTGAAATCTTGTATTTACACAGTTCCAACTAGTGGAAGAAAGAGGCTAATGTGTATAACTGCAGTGATCTCTAGGTTCAGGGTATAACTGGAGCTACCAGGACGTGCAAGTGTTTAACACACAGCATTGGTTGTTGGTTTTCCCCTAATTCTTATGCAGGTGAGAAGTCATCAGTGGTCTTGATTATGTAACCTGACCACATTGTTCCAAACAGTGGTGTTGTAGCAGCTACATAATTCAGTCAAAGCTGTCAGCTTCAGTAATGCCATTCAGCAGAACTTAAAAGGTGTTTATGTATGGAAAACAATGCAATTTAACATTTTGAGATGATACCAAGCACGTTTCTTTCCAAGAACACTCTTTTCCAAGATTACATGAATGTAATAGGCATTTGAAGTGCCTGTAGGTGCAACAGCTGACTGTGTGTTTTGCAGCACTGTTAAAAGCGTTAGAATTGGCACATAGGTCAGTCAGATGTCTTTTCAGCTGCCTTGTAATTTCTCATTCAAAAATCCTAGAAATCATGTAAAATGGTAAAAAGACATCCAATTTATAATTTCAAGTGGTATATATTTTTTTTCTACTCATGCAGTATGTCTTCTCAGGTACATTTGGACCAGGGAGACTTCAGACAGCAGTCACCTGTATCCTTGGATTCTTCAAAACCTGGGCAGAGTCATGATAGCTCCCTTACTTTTGTAAAGGCTTCAACTGTAGCACCCTCATGGCTTTTTGCTGCATCATCAGCAATTACAGTTCCCAAGATGTCACATTAACACATCTAGATGCCACAAAAGGTTTCCTCTGCTTCCCTGTTGCTTTAACATCATGGCAGGAGGCTAAAAGAACCTGTTTGAAAAGACTATATTCAGAACAGATCTGAACAGAAGAAAAAACAACCAAAGAAAAGATGTTAACTGTTTGAAGGGTTTCATCTTTAAGAGCAGAAAAGCCCCATTCAAAAAAATCCAAACCATCCTGCTGTATAAACAGGCCTCCAAGCACAGCAAGTCCAGCCCCAAACAGGTAGGACAACTTTAACAGGCACTGAGAAATTATAGAATTACTGGATTTTTTTTTATTTTTAAAGAGTAGTGACTGCCTTCCATGCCTCCATCCCCTCCCCACAATCTGTCAATTTTCCGGCCTCTTCTGATGACAAGAGGGGAAAGACGTATTACACACACAATTTGAAATGAGGCAAGAGCGCACACACAAGTTAGTCAGATGTTACCATGCTTCCATCTTGGTTGTGCTCTGCCTCAAGCTGAATTTTGCATGCTGCTTTATCTATCGCTTTCAAGCTCAGCTTTTAAGCCTTCCAAGATGCAATGGGTTCACTCTGTGTGTAAACTCAATAGCCACAATGAACACCGGATCTTAATTATAACTTCTAAGAAAACATCACAGTAAAAATATCACTATTAAAGTAGTATCAATACCATAGCACATGAGTTCCTGGGGAGGGAGTGGGAACAGACACATTAAACTTTAGCAAGAGCAACATATGGTTTAATCAAGAAGAAAAGCAAGTTGCTCTCCAACCTACAGTATTATTAGTCTGCATGAGAGACTAAGACCCCTCACATTTGCTTAGAGAAGCCAGAAACAGGGAAGGGAAAGATTCCAGCAACATTGCTAGAGTTTATTTTCCACAGCAGAATTTATCTTTCTGCCTCTCCCCACCAGAAGACTATAAGGCTTAACTTCACAGAACAAGGCATGATGGCTTTCTTTGCCAACCACAAAAATACTTGCTGCTTTTTCCAAAATAAGTATTTGAACAAGTATTAGAACTAGAGCAAAACAAATGCCCATCCCACCAAATTGCCCATTTTAAATATTCACCATGTTATGATGCTGCAGTTCTTTTCAGAGCAGATTCCTTTTAGCAGTCCCTTGATAAAACCAGAAAATACTAACATGCACATTGCATCAGTTAAGAACAATGTTAAAAATCAAAACCCAATAAAATGGCCACAAACACAATGTTTCATTCAATCCCAAATACTAGCAACAGTATTAGCTGTGATACAGAAAGCACTTACATGCAGAATTTAGTTCTAAAGTTTACCAACTTTACCAGAAAATTATCTGAGACTAAGTTACTTATGCTTAGCTTTGGGAAAGCTCCTTTCCCAGTCTACACACTGTTCTCTTCAAGGCAAAAGAAAACTAACTTTTTTTTTTTTTTTTTTGAAAACTACATCCCACTTTTTCCGGGCCTAAAGAGTATTATCAGGTGATTTTCAGTTTTGATTAATAGCTTGCAATTCAGCTGTCAAGACAGGCATGGATGTAAGCCTTGATGAAAAATCTGCTACATCTCAGGCCAGGAAACTTCGTCTAGAACTTCTTTCACTAAAGCTCATACTCCTTTCCTATGGACTTCAGTGACAGAAAGACAGCAGCCACAGCTAAAAGGTGAAATTAGTATAGCCAAGTACATGCAATATGTATATACACTCAGTTCCTGGTCCACCTTTACTGCTTTGATTCTGATCTATGCAGCTTACTAAGCTTCCTTTGTAGATCAACCAGTCAACCGTTGATTCACTGTTACATCAACAGAGAATACACATGCACCTTAGTGTGAACCTACCAGAGCTCCCCCCTGAATTTCTGGAGAGGACTAGCCATTTCCCATTTAAAAACCTACAGATGGCAGAAGATGGAACTACCTTTCCTCTGACTTCATACTTTAGGCCTGCTTTCCCAGCACTTGTTTGTTTCTTCTTCCACCACAGAAGTAGCATACTAAAAAAATTTCTTGAAACCTCTAAGCCTAGCTTAAAGCACTGAGATGGAATCAAGTACAACCAGCTCATCTCCATCAGTGGTTTGTTTCACTAAAGATCCCATTAAGAACAGGACTGCACAACCTTCTTAAGTAGTCTGTTTAACAATCTCGACAATAAAGTTTAAATCTCCTCTGCAGAAATCAAGTTTGCATTTTCCTGTTCTTATTGTATTAGATATAGACAAAAAGAAAACTAAAACAAGCAGATGTTCACCTTCTTCTATAGCTTACTACGTTCTCCACTGGGAAGTCAGAACAGGTGTGCTCTCCCTTCTGTTTTCTCTTGCAGTCTAAATACAGCCTCCTTATTTCCACAAGAGTTGTATTTTGTAAACCTATGACCAATCCTGACATCCTCTGGAATTTCTGCAAGTGGTTTTATTGCATCTTTCCTTGTCGCCTTCAAAAGTAATCTTGTATTCTGGCTGGGACATGACTAGTACACAAATAAAATGATTACTCTAATCACAGAATGGTTTGGGTTGAAAGAGACCTTAAAGATCATCTAGTTCCAACACCTCTCTGTTAAAAGCCAGAGCAGAATATGAATCATACTGCGCCAACATCATTAGCTCATCCAGTATGAAAAATGAGCTTTTCTTCTTTTATGACAAAAGAGTCATATCCTGCCTTGTAATTGTATATTAAGTGAAAAACTGTATTTTAGTGAATTTCGCTTTTCTGGTTTTTGGATCATTTTTCCAGTTTAGAGAGGTTTGGGTGAATATGTGTAGATATTTTTTAACTAAGAATGCTTTTTAAAAATTTACTTAACAAAATGAAATGAAGATGTGCAAGGTGTCCCTGCCCATGGCAGTGGGGTTGGAACTAGATGACCTTAAGGTCCTTTCCAACCGTAACTATTCTATGACTCTAAAAGACCAATTGTAATGAGATGCAACTGCTAATCAAATGATAGAATTATAATCTAGTACCAAGGCAAAGGCCACATAGTTCATATATGAATGCAATAACCTCCTGCATAGGTAAATGCAAGATCAAATGGTACATAAGAAAAATGTATTCTTAATCCCTGTAACTAGCAGTCCTTACAGTTTTCTGCTCATGGACCACAACAACAAAACAGTGTGATAAGGTGCAGAAGTATTTTGTCCTTGCTTCTCAGCAGTTTCTCTTGAGTATGATTTTTAAACTCTAGTAACATAGGTCAGGTTTCCCTGGGATGAATTTTTTGATAACCAATTAATTTCTGGAATTACTTTAATTTCTTGTAACAAGCACCAGGCCTCCTGAGTAAAGGGCTTCACTCTTCACTAGCTGCTGCTAAACGTTTGTTTTTGTGCTGACATCACCCTCCTCCAACTAGCTCTCAGCTATTCCTCTATTTGGGCTCCCTGCCCTACTCTCATTGCTAGTGATGAGACACCATTGCCAATATTCTTCAAGCCATCAGTCCTCTTCTTCACACAGTTTGGCAGCCAGCTGGACAATTGTCAAAATATACAACATTTCTCTCACCTGCTGTGCTTTCTGGCACCTCCTGCTTATCTCGCACAAGCTGCATTATATCTGACACCACAACCTGATGGCTTGTATCTTCCTCTTTCTCTTCATTAGAGTGGTTGCCTGTTGAAAAACAGTTGCAGCTTCCAGTTTCTTTGCATGGGATCAGCCTCCAATACCAGTAGTCAGACATGAAAATGCTGTGAGTTGACCTCTGAAATTTAAAAACAAACAGAAAATCATTGCTCAGCAGAACAAGTCAATATTTTTCCTACAAGTACCAGCTAAAACTCAGGTAACTAGGTGAAAGAACACCCTAGAATATGGACTGTCAAAAAGTGAAACAATGTAAGAATATTTTTAATTTTTTTTTAAGAATAAGATACTATTATTCCCATGATATGGGATGCTGAAATCAAAGTTTAAAACACTCATAAGCAGATTAACTGAAGAAAACCTTGACAATGGAAACGTGGCAGGAGGAAGAGATGCTTTTGTTTCTGACACAGCACCCAGGTCCTTCAGGGCTGCCTTCTTCCTGAGCAGAAGATTAGCCTAGATCCAGCTAATTCCCAGGCTTACTTGTGCTTACACGTAAGAGAGCAAGCATGTTCTTAGACACCTGCAGGTTTCTCAATTTCCATATACAAATGCTAGAACTACAGTGTTTTTACTCTTTTACCTAAACAAAAATCACCTCCTTCTCAAAATTACAATTAAATCACTACAAGCTGTAAAAGATTTCTTCCACATGACTAAACAGCTTAAGCCTTCCAAATACTTACAGTTGGTAAAAGGTATTTGTGAATTCTGCAAAGAGCTAGCAAGGTGTCATTTCTTAAGGAAATTATACCACATCCAGAGATGTAGTTTGTTCCCACTCTCCTGAGGGCATATGGGCAATAAACAAAATGGTCCAAACCTCCAAGCACAAGTGACCTGAGCAAGCTTTTCCAAGTCTATCTGCAAAACATCAATTCCAAGCAAGGGAAATGTGCATCTCTCCAGGTAAATTTAACGGGTTTTCTGGACAAGGAAGAGATGCATGATCTCTGTTTGTCCCACAAGCATCTAAATCTGAGTCTTTCTAGCATATCTCTGTTTCTAGCTACTGATTAGCTTGAGTAAAAGCATGACTCCAGACCATGGATATTAATGATAATTCTCTACATTACATTTAAAAGTGGTGGGTTTACAGACCTGAAGAAAGCAAAATCCATTTAAAAAGCCTTGTTAATATAAAAAGGTTATCTACTTCAAAGGAAGCAGCCAAAAAAAGAGACACCCTCCCATCCTCCTCTATTATTTAGCACCAGATCTCCCTGGAATCACCCATGAAGGATAAAGTACTCTGTCATTTATGACATTACTTCAACAGAAGAAAGGATTTCCAGATAAAACACTCTTTTTCAAATACTACTGCAAAGTGCATTTTGTTTCCCGTTTAAAGACAGTAATTTTGTTTTGTTCTAACCAACATACTGTCAGTGTTCTCCGTTCTCTCTTTGCCTGTTGCCAGACTTTTAGGCTTTGCAATGTTTGTCAGAGGACAGGTAATGCAGTTGAAAGCAAATCGCTCAGCTCTTTATCTTCTGAACCCAGCGAGTGCAGTGCTCATAACCTCCTTGTCATACAGGTACCAGCAATTACAGCTGTACTTGCTGCTTGTAAATAGTGTATGTGGTACAAAGTATCTACTTTTAAGTTGCATCTGCTTCTGCAACTGTCTGACATGCCACATGCAATGATGGGCACAAGCATACACATGCAGCACATGCACTGGCATTTAATGAAACAAGCATTTCATAGCACTTCATGTTGGTTTAGTTCTGTGGAAGCATGGCGGGTGGGGGAGGGTGGCTTTCAATTACCCTTACACTTGAGACATTAAATAGATTGTACTTCTGCAAGCCACCTGGCAAAGTTTAAAGCTTTTCTGTCCAGAACATCTCCTTTTTACCCCCAGAATTGGGGCAGAGATAGGGAAGTCTCCTCTGAAGGAGACAAAAATCCCAGAAACTTCCAGTAGTTTTTCCCCCTGCTCTTTTCAGTGCAAGGTGAACTGAAAAGCAGCTGGATCTATTCTTCAGTAGTCAGCAAACTACTCTAGGAATAATCTTTTGATTTATTGCTTTTCCTTAAGGAATGGAATCTCCTGAAGATAACCAGAAATAATTATATCCAAGCATGCAGTTTGTGAGACACATTTGTGACCTTAATCCTACTTTAATTAATTAGTTTTCTGACCCACTCACCATCTTGATTTTTAAGAGCAGTAATGTGAACTTAGTTTTTAAGCCAGCAGCTCAAGGACTCAGAGAAGTTGGGGGAAAAAATATGGGAGGGTCAAGATATAATCACCACCCATGTTTGTCATACTTTCATGAAGAACCGTAGCTTGCAGAGACATTCACAAAATTGACTTGACCAAGACTGCCTATACACAGGAAAACATAAATAAGGGAGGGAAATCCACCTGCACCACCCCAAAACCCCAATTTCTGGCTTAAAAGCTGTTCCAAAAATGTTCCAAATAGTCACAGCATCCCTGACATATACACGTCCACTTGCATCACTGCAACGATAGACGCAAGTAGCTTTAATTTTTATCTCAAAACATCCAGAGATAAATTAATGCCTTCAACCAACATAAAGACTAGGCTGATGTACCAAGAAAAAAAACCCAGGAATGAAACCTTCATTTGACATTTACCGGTCTAAACTGAATCTCACTTTTGCATGCAAAACCCAATACTGGTTTTGAGTTTGGGTTTTTCTGATTTGTTTTAAAACAGATTGTTGACATCAAAGTTGGTGAAATACCCAAGGAAAAGCAAGGTCAGAATCTGGAGCCATCTGTCAGGGCTTGAAGGTACTGGTAAACTTCACTGGCCCTGAGCAGCCTCATCCAGGACCTCTACCACGAGCCCAAGAGCTGTACGTAAGTCCAGCCCAAGGCCTTCAGTCCCTACTTAAGCTGTGCCACTGACAAGCCTGTCTACAGCCCTGTCTCCTGAACAGGCCTACAGGAGACTGTAGCTGCTTTGAGCTACATCACAGCCCTGCTCCGAGTCCTACCTCTGGATCCTTTCACCTCTGACTGGACTCCCTGAAGGGACCAAGTTCCTTGCTCGCTGGGTTAGCGACAGCAGGTAGAGCCTGCTTCTGGTGGTCAGACCCTGACAGCAATGTCCTGGTTGGTGAGTCTTTGCTTCGGCTGCCCTCAGCTCCTGCCTCAGCTCCCCTTTTGCAGCAGTCCTGCTCTTGCTGCTCTCTGACACCAATTGTTAAGGTACAATGTACTCAAACTCAGATAAAGACCTACTTCTGAGCTCAGTGAAGTTTATAAAAATATAATTCTAATGCGGATATAGCACACAAGAACGTGTGGGACTTGCCCATCTGACCAATGTGACAGTTCCTTACCACTTCACAAAAGCAGGCACAGATACATTACAGCTTCAGCATATGCTCTAAGGCTGGGAAGGAAAGAAAGCCTCCAAGAACACAACAGGTACAACAGGTCGCTGTGAACTCACAGTCCCAGTATAAAAGCTCTGTTCTCCCCCCGTGATGTATGTCACTTCCAGAGGGAACACTGGGTAGGAGTCACCATGCCCCCATTTACTGCAAATAGTTGCCAGCTACTCTGATATCAATAAAGGTATGCTGCATCCTTTGTCTGTAAGGTCTGGCAGCATGCTAAATGGATGAGATACTAACTTTGAGACTAATCACCCATGGGGCCAGTAATACATTAATATGCAATATTAACAAGTAATAGGTAATATTATTACATAGCACTCCACACTACTTCTTAACTAAGGCGCAAATGTTTTCCGAACCATTGCTTATGAGATTCAGACAAAAAAGCAGGTTTTGAAAGCAAAAGTTCTTCGGTTTCCATCACTTTGCACACACACTTCACTGAATGTACATCAGTTTCCCATCCAAAATCCCCCTTTAATTCAAGAGTAGCACTGCAAAAGGAGTAGATAATTATCTTCAAACGTAAACTGGACGCCTTATGTAATATGGTATCTCAGAAACTCAAATCTATATTCTCCAACCACTTCACTGTGACAGTTAAACCTGACTCCAAGGGTCCCTGTTGCAGTGGGCTGATTCATTATTACTGGATTTTTTCTGCTGCCACACAGTGCAAGTTCTTCAGCTATTTCCCTGGTTATTCAGGCAGGGCATTATTTCTAGTCAGGTGTAACACAGACATTTAAATGTATCTCGTTTATAAGACCATTTGTCTGAAGTTTTCATACTGTCCTGTGAATTACTTCCCTAAGCATTCAAACACTGCAGTGTTTTACCATGCTTTCATTACTGCTCCATTTAAGTCACTGAGGAAAACTGTATTTGTGTGGGGAAAGCTGGTCCTAATTTAGCACTTAATAAGATTTCACACCCTTGTTTTCCATATACATGGTGACACTTTATTCCAATGCTCTTAAAGAAAAACTGTTTAATATGTTATCCAGCATGAACAGCCAGGCTTAAACTTAGTAATTCACCAAGCTCAGTACACCCTTATCAATAGAGATAGGCGAGGCCATCTGATGAAGTAAGAGCTCATCCCTGTACCTCTCAAGTCTCTGCAGGTGAATTGGACTGAACTGGACACCAATGTCTGTACGGTACTAACTAATGTTGCTCTATTTTGAAATGGATTAAAATACACTGAATGGTATTTAAACCCATCAATATTGTTCTGATTAGAATTTATTTTAAGTGCACGTACCTGGGCAACAACATTCTTTTCAATTTTAATGCTTTGCAATACTGGCCAGTCATTGTTCCCATTGCTCAATACACGGGCAAGGTACAAAATATGCAAGACACACAATACATTATAGACCAGGTTCCTCCCACCTAAATTCAGACACTAAAACCAAGAGATCCAAGTTAAGAACCTACATGACCCACGAGCCTTCAGCATTCACTGGTGTAAGAGACGCGTATCTCCTGATGATCACCATCAGCCCCTCACGTTGACTTCAGAGAGTCCGAGACAACCTGGGTGAACTCAAGTTTGTATGATGAAAAGTCCCACTTTTGTATACATTACTGACAGAGTGCCACGAAGAATGAGTCATGTAACAAAAACAATAAAGCATTTTGGGATTTCAGTAAAGCCTATTAAACGACTCACGTTCTGCCTATGGAGATACTGTATTTCTACTCTTGCCCCTCCCCTAGTCC